GGCCACACTTTTCTGTCGCGATCCGCGTTCCACAGCTCTTGGCCCAGTCTTGGTTTTTGTTCAAGTTTTGACTCCTTTATGAGTTGATCATGGCTACTTTGGCTCATTATCAACAATGCCTGCAAACACGTATATTACATTAGTTTTCGGGAATACCTTTATGCATTTTAGGCCCAAAACGCAAGTGAGAAAAAGCAAATAATAGGTTAAAATCCCCACTTATCACTCCTCTACCAATGATAAAAACGTATCCACTTGTGGATTTTGATTCTGTTGATCCGGTGATTCAATTGGCATCATTATATCCCTCAATAACTGCGGGATAATTATTGTAATGCAATGCATAGTCTTAGGTATATTTCAAATACCTCAATACTTGTTTCATTGCCATCCAATGAGCTTGGTCGGGATTACTTGTATATCGACTTAGCTTACTTATCGCACAAGTTATATCGGGTCGTGTACAATTCATAATGTACATCAAACTTCCCAACACTCGAGCATATTCCAATTGAGACTTTCTTTGACCTTTATTCTTCACAAGCGTATAGTTTAAATCAATTGGCGTTTTTGCAATTTTAAAGTCCAAATATTTGAACTTTTCAAGTACCATTTTAATATAATGAGATTGAGACAAAGCTAGACCTTTAGGAGTCTTAAGGATTTTAATTTCCAAAATTAAATCGGCAACTCCTAAGTCTTTCATATCAAACTTATTAGAAACCATGCGTTTAGTAGCATTTATGTTAGCAATGTCATTACTCATTATCAACATATCATCCACATATAAACAAACAACGGCAAAGGGCTAAATATACCCCTATACTTTCAAATATTATTTAACTGTACACTTCGTTATACTATTGGGCTATTCATACCCCTACTGTCATACTTTGGAACAAAAATACTCCTATTGTCATACTTTGAAACAAAAATACCCCTATTTTGGATGGAGTGCCACGTGGCAACACCGGATTAAAATGACCCATTTCTTTTTTTTACCCGATCCATTTTTAAAAAACCCACAACCCGACCCCTTTTCATTTTTTTCTATTTTTTTTTTTTAATTTTAGTTTTTAAAAAAACGAAAATATTTTGTTAAAAAACAAAACAAAAAAATTCTGTTTTTACAAATTTGTTTTTCCAGTTTTTACAAAACAAAATTCTTTTAAAAAACTGAAAAAATGAAAAAAAATATTTTTCAAAAACGAAAATATTTTGTTGAAAATAATGTTTTTAGTTTTTAAAAAAACGAAAATATTTTGTTATAAACTGAATCTTTTTTTGTAAAGGGTTTTAGCTTCTTTGGGTTCTATAAATAAAAGATTTTTTTATAAGGTATATGAANGGGGGGTAATTTTGGGTAATATAGCAAAAAAATATTAAAAGAATTTTGTTTTGTAAAAACTGGAAAAACAAATTTGTAAAAACAGTTTTTTTTTGTTTTTTAACAAAATATTTTTGTTTTTTAAAAACTGAAATTTAAAAAAAAAAACTGGAAAAAAATGAAAATAGGGGTCAGGTTGTGGGTTAACGGATCAGGTAATAAAATGGGTCGTTTTAATCTGGTGTTGCCACGTGACACTCCATCCAAAATAGGGGTATTTTTGTTTCAAAATATGACAATAGGGGTATTTTGTTCCAAAGTATGACGGTAGGAGTATGGATAGCCCAATAGTATAACGAAGAGTACAAGTAAATAATATTTGAAAGTAGAGAGGTATATTTTGCCCTTTTCCGAACAAACAGTGACTATTTGATTTGGAGTATTCTAATGTAAACACATTTGTCACACTCATTGATCTTGAAACCATTTGACAATATTATTTGGTCAAATTTTGCATGCCATTATTTTGGTGTTTGTTTTAGTCCGTAAAGTGATTTAACAAGTCGACACACCTTCTTTTCTTTTCGGGGAACTACGAACCCTTCAGGTTGCTCCATATAAATTTCTTCCTCCAAATCTCTATTTAAGAAAGTTGTGTTCACATCCATGTGATAGATTTGAAGGCCATACACGACGGCTAATGCTATTAACACCCAGATAGATGTAATCCTCGTTACCGGCGAGTATGTGTCAAAGTAATTCATACCTTCTCATTGTCTAAACTCTTTAACAACTAATCTTGCCTTATATTTGTCAATAGCACCATCAGCTTTCATTTTTCCTTTTGAAAATTCACTTAGAACCCAAAAGTTTATTTCCTGGAGGAAGATCAACCAATTCCCAAGTATGATTACTTAATATGAATTCTATCTCACTATTGACTGCCTCTTTCCAGTATTGTGCTTCCGAGGAAGACATTGCTCCTTTGAACGTTTGAGGCTCATTTTCCAACAAGAAGGCCAGAAAATCTGGTCCAAAGGAAGTGCCTGACCTTTGACGTTTACTACGTCTTGAATTTTCCTCATTAAAAGTGCTTTCCTTTGCTTCTTTCCGAGGCCGCTTAGATTTTTCACTAGACGACTCACATTCCTTTTTATATGGATAAATATTCTCAAAAAATTCAGCATTATTTGATTCACTTACCGTATTAATATGAATCTAGGGATTTTCTTATTTATGAACCAGAAAACGATACGCCTTACTATTTGTTGTATATTCTATGAAAACACAATAATAGGATAAACTTTTAATAAGGGACAAAGTTCTTTTGTAAAAGGGACTAATTCAAAATTTCATTTCTCTTCATTTCGTTTTCCATTATTTTCTATTCACACCTCTTTTGTTTTAATTAATAAAACCCAACCAGCCAAACTAAAAACTTTAGTTGACAAAGTTACTCAATACTTATACTAATGCAAAGTAACTGACAGTCATTCAATTAGTGCATGTGCGACCAGACTAACACATATACCATTTTATAATAAATAATTTGAAATGCGTCATTGTATGTTGTATCAAGCCTCCATATTTGAGTTGTTTCATTTCATTAGAGTCTATTCAATTTTAGAAGTAAATAATTTTGTAAGACAAATTAGGAATTATTCTTGAAATTAATGAGTTAAGAAAATTTTAAAGTTAAATATTTTTAGAAGTGAATATTTAGACGATAAAGTGTCAAACGTAGAAAAAAGAAGTGTAAAACCCAGAAAATATATCAAAACTTCAGGGTAAATTTCACTAATGGTCATATAACTATAACTTTTTTTTTCCACCAAAGTCATATAACTATGTTTTCTCACCCAAAAATCATATTAATTAAAAAATACAACTTTTCGGTAGTATTTTCTTATTCCACATTTTATTATTATTTATTTTCAGTCTAATAAATAATAACCCAATTAAAATAAGAAAACGGTATGTTTTTAGCAGCTCCAAAAAATAATAGCCGATAAAATATATATTTTGTATATAAGTGTAAATTATATATATAAAATTTGTTTTGGTTAGCAATGCAATTAGCTTCGACCGACCGATCAATTTTTTGTTCTTAAAATAAAAATTATTCAACCTGACCCAACTTAATACCCATATACATAAAATAAAATAATCCGAAAGTGAATCCTTCACCCAAAAAGTTAGTTTGGAATGCATGAGACTCTAACAAAAAAAGAAAGAAATAAAATGTATGAATAATTAGAGAGCTCTTGAAATAATAGTACTATTAATTTGAATGAAAATCTTTTTAAACAAAATTAAAGTATCGTGTTTCGGGGAATTCACATTTAATAGTATTTTTATTTTTATATATGAGTATTGGGTCGAGTTTGGTTGGTCATTTCTATTTTAATTGGGTTATTATTTATTAGTCCAACAACAACAACATCAATCCTGTAAAGTTCTACAAGTGGAGTTTGGGGAAGGTAGTGTGTACGCAGACGTTAGGGATACTGTTTCCGATAGATTCCGAGCACAATAAAATGATTATTTATTAGATTGAAAATAAAAAAATCGCAAATAAGAAAATATTATCAGCAAGTTATATTTTTCGGTCATTATGATTTTTGTGTGAGTTAGTAAAAAATTTATGATTTTTGTGTGAGAAAATATAGATACTAGTATAACTTTGGTGAAAAATATTATATTTATATGACCGTGAAATTTACGAGTTTTTGACCAATACTGTCCCTTATCTTTGAGGGTAGGTCTATTTTGGTCTCTCAAGTATAACTCTAAACATATTTAGTCCCTTAAGTATACTAAAGTGGAGTACCTTTAGTCTTACTGACACAATATGTTCAAAAACTAACGGTGTTACCCAACTCTGACTCATGAAGAAAATCTTCTGCTCTAAAGCAAAACGTTTCTTCTCCTTTTATTGGATAACACAAATTATCACTTTAATTTCTCATTTTTAAATAATATCTTCTAAAATTTTGATTTTGAAAATATCCCCTTTTGTGATTGTCAATGAGAAAATGACACTGTATAGCCGCTGTAAAAATAATAGCTGAAAAAATGTATAAAATTTGTATATATTTTTTTGTATATATATACATTTAGAAATTTCAGTTGATTTTTCCAAAAAGATTAGTTAAAATTTGAAAAAATAGAGCCGCCAGGATCACTTCTAGGCATATTATTGAAGTAAATGAATAACCAGGTTGTATTATCACTTTTAGCCCACGCCATAAACTATTTACATCTGGTAGCCGCAAAAGTATATAAAATTTGAATAATTTTTGTGTATTAGCATACAATACACACACATAAAATACAAATTTTATATATTTTTCGGCTATTATTTTTACAGCGGCTATACAATGTCATTTTCTCATTAAAAAGTGGCACATAACCGGATATTTTCAAGGTCAAAATTTTAGAAGACATTATCTAAAAATGAGAAATTAAAGTGATAATTTGCATTATCCAATAAAAGGAGATGAAACATTTTACTTTAGAGCAGAAGATTTGCTTCATGAATCAAAGTTGGATAACACCGTTAGTTTTTGAATATATTGTGTCAGTTAGACTAAAAGTGCTCTACCTTAATATAGTTAAGGAACTAAATACTTAAGATTATATTTAAGGGATTAAAATGGACCTAACCTAAGGGACAATATTGGCCAAAACCTCTGAAACTTCACGGGGGTCAAGACTCGGGAACTTTTAGCCTGAAGTCATCGGTCTTCTCTTTTTCTCGGCTTTCCGCTTGCATCCCTCTGTATGGCAAGTTCTACTATACGCTGCAGCTCATACCGTTGAGTTATTCATTTTAATACACTTCGAATCTTGTTTTTTCTCTCCTTATAGTCATAGCCCCTTTTCGTTTTACTGTAAATTCTTGCTAGATTTTTTAGTTATTATGTTGCAGATTCACATTTGTTTCTGAATTTTTGCAATTCAATTGTAAAAATCGCAGCTTTATGGAGTATTAATATTGGGGTTGTTAAAAAATGCGGGAAGTTCCATCATTAATCACCTTATGCATATGCTCAATCAGAGATGAACTCATTCAAGGTGATATTTTATTTTATTTTTTTATTTTATTAGAACTATACAAAGCTATTGCTTAGCAATTAGCATTTCTCTTTTTGTTTTCAGTGGATGATGTTGAACTTTCATCAGTCTTATATCAACTTCCCACGGAGTTGTTCGACCAGTTGTTGCCGCAGTTGCCTCCATTGGCATTGCAAAAATTACAAGAAAGGTTGTTAGCTCAACACTTAAATTTTAAGATTATATGTGTGTTTAGTAAATGTTCAATTTAAGCGGTCATAACAGGTTACTACTCAATACTTACCTGCTGTTTTAAGTGACAGTGCATAGAACTTAAGCTCTTTTTTTCCCCTTCTATTTTCTAGCAAATCTTCTCATTTATGTTGGATATCAATGTACCTCGATCCTCCTCCTTTATCTTTAGTACATCAATATGAGCTTAGATTCGATGCTAAATTCACAAAGGTGGAGTTCATTATAGAATCCCTATTATTAGAGAATCCCTATTTTGTTTTAAAGGAGAATTAATTGAGTACTGGATTGAAACTGGCCTAAATGGAGTTGAATGGATATCATGAATTCATACAGTTGATGACTAGTTTGGGATTGATCACATTGTAAAGCTTTATATGCAACAGCTGTGACGTAGTTAACCGCATTGTACATCCAAAAGCATGAACATGATTACTTATCTAAACATTGTGAGAATCTAGTACTGCTAATACTAATAGATTGAGATCATATCTGCTTATCAGCCGTATGTGTCATGTGCGTCTTGGTTCCATTGCTGTTCTCAATAATCTAGAATCTCTAATCTGCTGAAAGTCCATTTGTCAACTTCTGCTAAATTAAGAGGACGAGTAATGGTTTATTGTTTTAAACTTTTGGTGCATCAATTGTTTGAGAAAGTGATTTGGAATTTAGAGTGATGAAGCTAGTTAACGGGGAATTGATCAACATTTTTAGTTGGTTTATAACTGATATAGTTGGTTGACATTATTTAGGTTTTCCACACGCACCTTTATGTGGTGGCACAAGTGCATAATATTACCTGATTTTAACCAGAAAATCTTGTGTTGCAGGAAACCTGACGTCTTGAATGATTATGAGCTTTTGACTGATGGTGTTGATAATCAGAGAAAGCGTAAAAGGTTTGCATTTGTAGTTTCATATAGGAAATTGAGTGAATTTTTCTTTAGTTCCTGGTCATAAAGAAAGATTATGTTACATCTTGAGTAAATATGTATAGAGAGAGGATGCCTATATTTACATGATCTGCAGATGTTTTTCTTTTGAATGGAACTTGGAATATGTTTCTGCAGATATCTGAATTTTGAGGAAGAGTGGAAAACTCTCTATGAATTACGGTGGCCTGCTCTTGGCCGGCAGAGTAAGAATTCCAAGAATAAGTCATTTGACAGGTCAGCAAAAGGAAAAGAAGCAGAGCGTGAATCCACAGATGACTGGCAACAGATGTACTGGGAAGCACATTTGCAGAAGTACGAACATCAAAATCCACTTATTGGTGGTTATCACTAAAATTATACAGCTTCATTTCACCTGTCATTTTAAAATTTCACATTTTTCTGAGAAACAGATGCCTGGATACAGCAGCAGAGATAGCTTTATTCCCAGCTTTTCATGGTCAGATTAGTGAAATAGAAGTTCCCGGTAAGAAATTCATGTTGATTTATAGATGCCTTTGTTTTGTTTGTATATTGTGTATCACAGGTTGTACTTGTATCCAGATGTCTTCTCCTGTTCTGAAAATATTATGGTTCAAGCAAAGAAAGTTCAACAGGAGTTCCCTGAACTAGCAACGTAACATTTCGTTGATACAGGCTTCTTTTGTTTGTGCAGATTCAATTTTAAATTATATTGATCATAGGGGACACATCGGCAAAATCACATGTGACTACTCCAAGTTTGCTTATCACTGCCAACAATTCGGATCATATGCCAGGTGTATTTTCACTTCAGTTTTTAAACCTGCAGGCCTTAACCATTCAGAGGACAATGAGCCTCATGACAGAAATATCTTTAAACGCCATATGCAAATAAATGTTCCTATTAATATGTGTCATCATCTTCAACACTGCATCTGTGAAGTATAATAAAGGTTGGAACTGGGGTTCTCTCGCCTGCAGTTTTCTGCATTCTTTTCCCCTTTGAAATAGTACGTAGGGGTGAGCAGAATAAGTGATTAATTTTGAACATTGAAAGGATAAAATTGGTGCCATCATGTGCATGTAGTTCCTTGATTATTACTTATGATTTGTGCATTCATGCTGCATATTGTGTTTCAACTACCGCTCTTGATTGTCTCAAACATAGCTCCTGTTGAATTACTTTTGTTTTGATTGCAGACACCTGAGACTGCCAAATGTTTTGTGTGTGGAAGAAACTTGTGTAAGTTGTACATACTGTGTAGAAAAAAGAAAGCCTCAAAATGATAATATTTGTTGCATAAAATTGTCGATTCCTAGTTTAGTCGTCAAATAGAAAAAGAACAACGTAAAGCTTCCTTTGGTTTGTGTGGATAATCATCTTACATTTCTTTGTTGCAGCATTTACTTAGAAATGCAAGATTGGAGAGTCTGGAATTACAGTGGATTAAGTCTGATGAGCATGTAAGTTTAGCTGTTTTTGTTATGTGCTGTACATGTTAGCTTTCAGGAAATAGCAAAATACTCTAGTAACAGAACAAAGAAGAGGAAAGATAAACCCCTTAGAAACTTTATGGAATAAGATGCAAAATACCCCACTGACAACAGATCCTAATGTATACTTCGAAGCAAATTTATTTTTGGAATTCAAGTCAGAACTGAATATGTGAAACATGCTCTTAGCTTTCATCTGCTTTTATGTAGCTTGTTTCTTAAGGTCTTCAGGTTGCACTTGAGTATAAAATCATTAAGCAGAGCTCCCTCATTTGTTCCAATACGTGTTAGTTCTTTACCTTTCATTTCCTATTAACTATCCTATGTTAAACATGGCATANGCACAATAAGGACAAAAAAGAAAACAAGAAAAAGGAAAAAGAAGGTCCAACCCGACGGCTGTGTCAAGTTACAACTTTATCTTGGCAGCGATCTTAAATCCGGTCATGTCTTTGTTGGCACATATGTTCAATCGACTGTGCTCTGAAAGGTACAAATCAGCATTTTTGATAGTAGAAGAATAATTTTGGTGTCTCGCGCAACTTCTTTTTCTTCTTTTGGTTTACTATATTGAGTTATAGAAGAAGTGGATCCATAATCAATGATCAGGGATTCAGCTCTGTAAAACTGTTTTCCCCATCAGAATTGATTTCTGACATGGCATCTGATTCATGATAGAGTTGTATTGGCCCCTTAAGATTTTATGCCATGCTCTCTCAATTGCTTGTGCATTTTTTTATTTGGCATATGTAGTAAATAGGAAAATTGCAACATATCTTTGTTTCGAATTCCTATATCTTCTTGAGTGGAACTTGTTATGCTTAAATGTTGACTATTTGACTGTTACACTGCTTTGTTTCTGTGGCTTTCAACCTTGCAGGTCGAGGGGTTATGCAAACTCATCAACCAGAACTATCGATCCCTAAAGTCGATTAAGTTCGTGTATTGCAAGTTTACAGTGGCTTCTCTTAATGCAATTTGTGACTTATTATGCATGCATTGTCCTCAAGCACCTGAAATGCAACATTTCTCAATCAAGACATCAAGCTTCCTAGAGAACAACGTTTCTTCTTTGCCTGCTGGACTAGTATCTTTTATATCATCAGGGAGGTATGGTGGATTTCACCTTACTTTCCATCAGCTCCTTTATTTAAGTGTTCTATCCTATATACTCATAGTTAACAGCTAACTACTACAAAGAATTTTGAATAAAAGAGTTGTTTGATGTGAGGTGTATGTTCATATTCATGCTATCATAGAACCATGGATGTCATGTGAGCTCATCGGTAGAATTCCGTCTTACGGCAATAATGGTGCGTGTGTAGTTTTGATCTTCTGAAGTTTAACGCTTGGAGGAAATTGCAAAGGTCCTAGCGACAGTAATCTTGCAGAATCTGATATTTCTGGAAGTTTTCTAGTTCTTGGGAGAAATTGCAATTTTGTCAAAAAGCTCAATTATACAAGTGCAATGACCGTGTTTTAGATGACAGAGATCCTCTATTTACTTTTTCTTAAAATACATATTATACTTTTTGTTAATTCAATCTGTTCCTGGGTAATTCTGGCAAATTTTGGTTAATATCCTTAACGTGTATATCCGTGATAATCTCATTCCTTTCAAGTGGAATTTGGTAACAATGTGGGCTTTATTAACAGTTTCAGAGAGTTCACACTTGGCTCATAGCTTCTCTTTGGTTGGAGACAAATTTAATGCTGACAATATTGTTCCTAAATGATAGATAATTCTATTTGGCTGTAATTGGCTATCATCTTAGAGACACAGAGATGGTCATGTGATAGTATTGATTTGTGTGATTATGTATTGCAGATCCTTGTTCATTCTTTGCATCATGGTACATACCATCTGCTCTAATCCTTTAAAATGATTCCATAGACTTACAATTGTGCATCGGATTCTGCTAGGTCCTTGTCTTCATTATGCTTATCAGACAATCATCTTCATCGACATTTTGCAAGGATAGTTTTTGATACCCTCCTTGAAGCTTCATCTAGTATTACCATTCTGGACCTTTCAGAAAACAATGTGAGTAATGACGTTTACTCCTGTTGTTGTACTCATCAATACTGATGTTATCATCAATCAGCCTATAGAAGATTTTACACTGCAGATTGCGGGATGGCTTTCTCATTTTAAATGGAATGACAAAAGTATCACCGAGCCATCTGGGACATACAATTCATTGAAGTCATTAAAGAAGCTTAATTTAAGGTATGTTTTGACTTTTCTATTCACACTGACCTGTCATAATATAAACAATTCCATAGGAATTTTGGTCACAAGCTGACTTAATGAGTTTTCAGGAGAGGTGTTTTTGTATTGTCATCTTTAGTGCAATACAAAGTTTACTTGTTTCTCTAACTTCAGGAACTGCAATCTACAGAGGGACGATGTGGATTGTCTCAGATATGTGCTAGTCCACATCCCTAATCTGGAGCAACTTGATCTCAGTGACAATCCTATCGAGGATGACGGATTCAGGTTGGTTGAATTTTAGTTTATATGTACAGCGACCAACTTGCTAAGATCTCGCAACTGCGTTTTTCATTCAGGTGTCTGACTACCTACTTCAAGGATATGTCACAGAGATATTTCTCCCTTGTCGAATTGAAGTTGGAAAGCTGTGAGCTTACTTGCTCTGGAGTTTGTGAACTTCTAGAAGTTCTTTCAGCTTTGAGAAAACCACTCAGTTTTCTCTCAATTGGAGGCAACTATCTTGGCAGGTTGGTAATGTAAATATGATTACAAAATTATATTCAATTTTCATAATTCTTCTCGTAAATAGAATATATTTTCTGAGGGGAAAACCACCTATGACCTGGAGAGTGCCTCGTGGTTTATCACTTGGCCTTTCACATGCTTTCTTTGTGCTTGAAGTTCGTAAAATTTTTCTGTTTCACTCTATCAAGTAACGTGGGGAGACATTTTAAGCCATGTTTTGGGTTATATTATGCCATGTTAAAATGCTTGGACTGATAAGGTGATGTTGTCATGGCAAATTTGCTGCAGATCTAATCTTTCCTTTTTGTCTTGGGAGTTGTATATCATGTCATTTCATTATTTGGTGTTCTAATAGCTTTCCATCTGTTGTGAAGTTAACTCTCTAAATTATATCATAAGCATTGCAGCAAAATGTAGTACACTATTCATACTGCCAAAACTTCATCTGCGCCATATTTCTCCCTTTGTTATCCTCATATGACACTTCCATTGCAAAATGTGAACATTTTTCTGACGTTCTCGTTGCCTAACTTTTGTAGTGAGATAGGGACACCATTAGGTAAGTTTCTATGCGGAGGTATTCAGGCTTTTGATATTGAAGACATTGGACTAGGTTCTTCTGGCTTCTTGAAAGCAGGCAAAGAGTTAGTCAGGGAATCAAAGCTCCGCTCCATCAACATAAGGTTAAATGGAGTTTCCATTGAATTTCTGATTATGGAATTTTAACAGAGTAGTAACATGTTCATTAAACTTATGCAGCAAGAATAGAGGTGGAATTGAAACTGCAAGATTTCTGTCAAAGCTTTTCTCTCATGCCCCAGATCTTTCATCAATAAATGCAAAATACAACTTTATGGCCAAAGAATCTTTGTCAATCCTGAGCTCCGGTATAAAAGTTGCAAAAGGTACAACCTTTTAGTGCTCTGTTTCTTCGCTCGTTTTGGATTCTTTCTGTAGCGTAAGTTAACTTGTCAAAATAGAACTGACAACGTGTGACCACTAGAAATTGACAGCTTTTCTGGTAAAGCATTGAAATCATATCAATCTTATATCTTCTTTTTGTTAATTAATAATAATGGAACGAGAAAGTGTGAACTGATGGCAGACGACACCCCAGGACTTTTGTTTCTACAAGTTCCAAGCTGATAGTTTTCCCTTGCAAATGGTGAATTTTCTGAAACTGCCAATGGAAAAATGACCATGATGACTAACAATTAGTCGAGTTCACAAGTAATACGGTGAAATCGGCTATTTCATGAACCTTTCACCTCATTCATATGATCAGCAAGTAAATTGATGCGTAAAAGAAGATTTAAATTATGTGAACTGTGTTCTTTTGTGGCATAGTCTCATTCAGAAGTTGTTTGTTTCAGCTGATTTTCGCTTTAAGCTCTTAGGTTCAACTGTAAGGACGCAGCACCTCTAGTGTGAGTATGTGCACGTCACGGGTTCAAATAATGCCGTGGACAAAAGTATGGTATTTAAGTTCCGAGGAGGGTGTAGAGGCAGGCCCATACTCCCCGGAGTTTGCAACCTGCTAATACTTTACGAAGGGGTTGGGCTCACAAAGTGGGCTCACAGGCGATTTCTCCCATATAAAACAATTTCCTAATTTGGATGTTTTTTAGTATTC